AGTCCAATTGGCGCATTTCTGCACAATTCTTTCGCGGGCCGGATAAAATCACATCGTGGGCCGGATGTGGCCCGCGGGCCTAGTTTGGATACCAATGATCTAGATGATTGGGCGGCCCTCTTCCCTATATTCTTTAAGTTGCCACAAATACTGAAGACGTTTGTCTCTGATATTATATCGTTCCATCAGTATCTGCCGATTACCTTTTGTTTTCTTCCAGCGGAACCCCAGTTTCAAAATAATTTTCTTTAATGTGGAGATGCATCCAAGAAAATCTAACGTTTTCTTCAACTTTTCGTGAACGTTTTTCAGGGTAGGTCTTCGTTTTTCGACTATGTAGAAGTCATTAATTGTTCTTCGCACCACAGACTTGTTAAAGTCGTCCAAAGTGGCTAGTGGAGATTTCTCAGGTCTTTCTTTATGGGGTGTCGAAAAGGAAGTGGAAGTCCCAGATTCGATATTTTTTGTTTCTCTTATTATTCTTCTGACACTACTTGCTTATACACCTGTTGCCTTTGCTACTTCCACTCCTATGTTCTTCGCTGTAATTTCATATACGTGGTGTGTTAAAAAAGTATCGAACCTTCTTTTTTCCAGCGTAAACCAATGAAGCGCGGGAGGCTCCCTTCGGTGGAAATGTGGGGGGGGGGACATTCTTGCGCAGTCGTGAATTTTTTCCCGCCCGCAGAAAGCGTCAGTCGCCGGCAGTCGGCCTATGAGTGAGCACGTGTAGTAAGCGCTCGTCGGATTCCAGTAAGGTGTAAAATGACGGAACAACATGAGCAGCGATATTGCATCAAATTTTGCCAAAAGCTTGGCGATACCCAAGTGGAAACCATTCGCAAGATTCAACAGGCTTTCGGGGACGATTCCATGAGCAACTCACGGATAGAGAAGTGTACAACCGTTTCAAAGATGGCCGCACATCAGTGGACAACGAACCGCGTTCAGGCAGACCCTCAACAAGCCGAAATGAGAATGTCATTGAGCAAGTGCGGACTTTGGTCATGGAGGACCGTCGTATCACAGTCCGAGAACTTGCGAACGAGATAGGGGTAAGCATTGGATCGATACATTCAATGTTGACCGAGGATTTGGGCATGAGGAAAGTGTCCGCGAAATTCGTACCGAAACTGCTAACAATGGAGCAGAAGCAACGCCATCTGGAAATCGCACAGGACATGCTGGACAATGCAAACAGTAACCCCAACTTTCTGAACATCGTGATCTCAGGCGATGAGTCGTGGATTTATGGGTACGACCCGGAAACCAAGATGCAGTCGTCATAGTGGAAACATCCGACATCCCCGAGGCCAAAGAAAGCACGGCAGGTCCGCAGCAATGTCATGTTGGCCGTTTTCTTCGACTCCCGTGGGGTTGTGCATCATGAGTACGCACCACAAGGCCAAACCATCACAAAGAATACTACCAGGAGGTCCTTCGTCGCCTTCGTGATGCTGTGCGGCGCAAACGACCGGATCTGTGGGCAGCAAAATCTTGGCAGCTCCATCATGATAACGCACCCGCCCAATCTGCGCATGAGTCAGACTTTCGTCGCCAAACACAACATCCCTGGGGTTCGTCAGGCTCCCTACTCCCCCGACATGGCTCCGTGACTTTTGGCTGTTTCCCAAGCTGAAAATGCCGCTGAAAGGAACCCGATTTGAGTCAAGAGAAGACATCATGCGGAATGCGACGGCCCGGCTGATTTCCATTCAAAAGACGCGTTCCAGAAGTGTTTCCAACAATGGCGGAAGCGTTGGGAGAAGTGTGTGCATTACCAAGGAGACTAATTTGAAGGGGATTAGGGTTTTGTACCTCCAAATCAATAAATGTATTTCTGCCGACCAAAGGTTCGACACTTTTTGAACACACCACATACTTATATACATTACTAACAATTTCTCTTGATTGTGAATGCAACACTTTTCCACTCAATTTACTTCGTGTAGGTGGCATGTTAAAGGAGACAGAAAACTGTACGAATATAAATAAACAAAAAAAGAAAATCAACGAATAAAATAAAATATCAATACAGTAAATAGAGAATAATACACTCAAATAAGACTCCAAGAGTCAAAATTTTTAACTTGACTGTACAAGGAAGAATGCTCTTGAGACATCTGCTCGCACTGAATGCAGATGAATGAATAATCACAAC